GGGTGTAGCAGTTGCGTCACGGAGACCTGACGCGGTTTAGCGTCTCAAGGGAACAACTTAAAGGGGCAGAACGGTGTGAAACGGCCCAAACTGGGTGTGAAAAGTCAGGTTTCGGAGAAGAGCCGCGTACTCTTTCGTTACTGAACAGTTAATTGTTCGCTCTTCTCAGGTGCCTTTTGCCTGTGCCGCAGGGGCTGTGTAACCCCTCTCTCCTCTCCTCACAGGCGTTAGCAGCCGGCGGGCTGGGTTCCATAGTAAGAGTTCTTACAGCAAGAAAGACTGTTTAAAAGACTGTTAACTTGAACCGAGACAACGATCAGTTCTGGGCTCAGAAGGAATTAGCTGAAATGACACTGGTCCATCTTCATTAGCAACTGCAACCTACTGAAGCACTACGGAAACCTCCTCCTGGAATGCTTTTAACTGTAAAGGTGGGGGAAGAGCAAACTCCGACTATCCGACACAGGAGCCAAGAGGTTCTCCTGATCCCTCTGGAAGAGGCAGAGGGAAGGCACACTCCTGCCTCCTGTCCTGTAAGCGAGCAGGCGTTTTCAGATGCTGCTTTATCGAAGCGCGGTGACGCGAGATCCCGTGTGCGCTGCTTACTAAGAAGTAGCGGTGTCCGTGGCAGAAGCGAGACCCTGACAGCTTTGCGGGCAGAAGCGGTTACCAGAATGATGGTTTTGTACATGGGGTCAAAGCGCTAACAGGACTGTGGGGGTGGTTTCATTGTGAAGTGTCTGCTGCATCAATAAAGTTGTTGGATCACAAGTGAAGCAGTTTGGGTTTTGCTGAATCGCAAGTCTGACTCACCCCAAAGCCCACGGAATGTCCCCAGCTCCAACTGTAGGGGCTGTAGGGGGTGAGACCTGTTCCAGGCAGGGCTTCCAAGAGGCAGTGAACAGAATACAGAATCACCCCTGGATTGGTTTTATATTCTTGTCCATCCTAGAAAGTCAAGGAGGGACTTGAGAACGCACCTGTGTGTCAGTGAGTCAGGACACACAGACATTCGCTTCGCTCGGG